GGCTCATCAAAAAGATTTTTTTTTTTATTTGAACTGAAAATTACATTTTCACTTCTCAAAATATATAGAAAAAGTGTTAAACGTAAAAAATTATATCTCTTCAAAAGCATTATGACCCTCATCATTTATTCAAGCTAGGAACCGACTACAATATATACATGGAGTTAAAATCGTACTAAAAAAAATTAAAGCAAAAAACATGAGTAGCTCACAGGGCATCGACGAGTGACTCAAACGAGTCTTTTGCTGTTCGACTCGTAAACAGGACGAGCTACTTGTCTTACTTCCCACCCCCTAGTCATGATTGAACTTAGTGCTTTTTAAGACAAACCACGTTTGATAGAATCCATAACTTTTATGAAGCGAAATCAAATAGGAGTTTCTCTCTTAGTTTGAGGATTGGTGATGCAATTGTGATGGTCTATATACTTATTTGGTGATGGACGTAGCACGAGATCACAGACGTCCATTTCATTCTTTTGAACAAATCTTGTAACTGTCACATTCAACAACGGATGCTCAGCCATTCTACCACTCAATTCTTCTCTATCATAAAGCTCGCTACAAAATATAACGCACACTTTGCACTGTCGTGGAAGTGGGACCCGGTGTCATTTGATTTTCTCCGCCGTATCCACGGTCCACGAGCACCGCCACTGAACATGGTGCTTCCTTCAAAACTCTTTGATTAAACCCTTCTACATGCATGGCCCACTTTCTCCCCTCGGACCATGTGTTGCATTGGTTTTTTTATTAACTAATAAAAAACAATCTGAAGCAAAAAGTGGGGGAAAATTCATAGAACTTGAAAATTGGTTTAAATGAGAGGATGACTTAGCTCTCTAGCGTTGTATCTCACTAGTCGATAAATTTGCACCGATTCGTTCATTGGAGGAAGCGGGCGAAATCGGGGAAACATTAATTATATGAACCGAGAATATTTTGTCGAATGAGATTCAAACTCATATCCTTTCGGACCAGTACCTAAAATTGGTGCCTTAGACCGGCTCGACCATCTCGACATTATTGATTAAATTTTATCAATCTTTAAATATAATATGAATATTCCTCACATACTGCTTTTCAACCATAATCTGATTTTCTCGGTTTAAGGGTTGGATCAAATTTGAGTATGTAGAGGGTCTGGTGGGTCTAGAATTACCATTGAATGTGGAAGAAAAGGGAAACGACTCATAAACAAAACGCATTAGACCCTACATTGTAATTATGTTGGCCTCAACAATAAAATATTTTATTGGGTAGTTTTACTTTCCGGCTACATCTCTTCGGTGAGTCGATGACTTTTCTTGCATCGCACAGCGACTACATAATTTATGTTACTTTCTTGTTTATACACAATATCCGCACTATATTCGAAATTTTAGCAAAATAATTATGAATAATCCCAAATAAGACTAAGCTCTTGTTTGATTTTGATTTTAAAAAAATACTTATCCTCAAAATGCTTTTCAGGCTCATAGACTCTCAATAAAATAATTATGTACTTGAATGCATATTTTTTTCCTATTTTTAATCACAATCTTCCAGAAAAATCACATTTTTGCAATGCCGTTTTTCAAAAATTCAAAATCGAACGAGGACTAAATCTCACTTCACATCTTATAGTCCCCCATCAAATCCTTTCCAAACACTAAACTAAAAATTTTCTTGAGAATCCCTTCCATTTACTCCATGGTATCTAACTAAAATCATATGAAAAACCATTTTCAATACAAATTTAAAAAATTAAATTGAAGTAAGTTTGACTCAGTTATTAAAATCTCTAGCTTTGACTGTGAAAACCTATTTAAAATTATTTAAATTTTAATCACGTATTAATTTTATTGCTGGTATAGTAAAAAAAATATGCAAAATTATTGTTAAACTCGGAATAAGTTACTACTCAGTCGAAGCCTTAAAAGAAGTCCAAAGTGATGTGAAATGTTTAATCAAATTTAATAAGTTCGTGCGGTGAAAGAAAATCTATTGCGGTGGGAAAAAGTGAAAAATAATGTGATATTCACTTTTCAACTTTACTCAAAACATAGAAAATCGAAAAACGCAAACATTGGTACAGATTTTGAAGTAAGAGAATTACGCCATGGGTAAAAAGTTAATAACAGTTACTATTATCTCTTGGGATAGTTCAGGGGCGGACGTAAACTTTTTGAGTTAGGGGGGCACTATCAAACATTGTATAAATCGAATATTTTGTTCTTGATTTTTGAATAATTCATACTTGATTCGAGAGAACGTAGAATTAAGTTTAAAAACACATTATTTCATTAATATTTTGTTATCATTTTTATCCATTTAATTTCGAACAGTCCATTTATTAATATTTTGCTCATTACGAGAAAATGCACATTTACGTTTAAAGAATATAGTATATTTGATACAAACAATCAATTCAAGTAATAAAAAGAAAAAACATATAATCAATATTCACTACTAATCTTCAATCAAATAAACACAATTTGTTAAATATAAGTCAAATTGGGCATAATCATTTAAGACTCATTCAATATACACAATTTGATCGGAGATTAGTAGTGAATATTAATTTGTTAAATATAAGTCAAATTGAGTATAATCATTTAAGACTCATTCAATATACACAATTTGATCGGAGAAAATGCAAATTTAGATTCAAGATATGATTGGAAAATGAAGTAAATGTTATAATTTGTAGAGAAACTATAAACAAATTTTAAAAAATTAGAAGAATTAAGATTTTGATAAAATGCGTGATTGAGAGAGTGACGAGAGTGTAAGAAAATGGAAAAGTTTAAATCTATTGTGATTTTGTCCATGTTTGATGGAGATTAAAATCAAATTTCTAGTAAATTTTGATAAAAATTGAAAATTTATGAATCTCATGAAATATTTTATTAAAATTATTCATTAATTTTGATTTATATTAAAATTAAAATTTATATTTATATCAATTAGGACTTTATTGGAGGAAAGAAACAAACAAAGAACACTCAAAAGATTGTTCGGTGAAAGAAAATCTATTGAGGTGGGAAAAATTGAAATAATGTCACTATTCACTTTTACAACTTTACTTTAAACATTGAAAATCGAATAAATGAAAATGCAAACATGCAGTCAAAATGCAAACAAGCAGACATGAGGCCCCACTTTTTTTTTCGTCAATATACCTTCTTTCACCGTTAACAAGCAGACCTGAGCCGCTTCAGCGCCACTTTTCGTCAATAAACTTTCTTTCACCGTTAACTTTTTCCCAACTCAACATGCATACAGACATATATATTCCTCGTTATTGAAGTAAACAATATACTCACCAATAGATACATACAGAAAGAGAGACAGAGAAAGAAAGAGATAAGAGAGTCGGAGAAGAAGAGCATGGATATAGATCAAACCCCAGAAACAGAAACATTGGAGAATTGCCCTAGCATGAAGTTGGACGATGATGGCGGCGTCAAACGAACTGGTATACGACACACAGAAGCCAACTTATATGCATGAGCAAATTTAATCCAATATTTTTGTTTGATGTCTCTTGTTTGGTTTTGAAGGTACTTTGGTGACTGCAAGTGCACATATCATAACTGCGGTTATTGGATCAGGCGTGCTGTCACTGGCTTGGGCCATAGCACAACTCGGGTGGGTAGCTGGCGTGGCATTTCTTCTCATGTTTTCTTTCATAACCTACACGACGTCCACCCTACTAGCCGACAGTTATCGCTCTACCTATCAACCCATCAAAGGCAACGGAAACTGCACTTACATGGACGTTGTTAAGTCTCGTTTAGGTAACGCTAGCTTCCTTGGGAACTTTGATGCATAATTGTTAAGATAAATTTTAGAAACTTGTAATTTTCTAATAATTTGTACTTTGTAGGAGGTAGGAAAGCTCAGCTTTGTGGATTAGCCCAGTATGGTAATCTCATCGGGATTACAATTGGATACACTATAACTGCTTCCATTAGTATGGTGTGAGTATTAATATTAATTTTGAGACAATTTCTAGTGTTTTTCAAACTAATATTCATATGATGTGTCGTCAGGGCGGTTTTGAGGTCAAATTGTTTCCACAAACATGGCCATCTTGTCAAGTGTTCGATATCCTACTATCCATGTATGATAATATTTGCAGTAATTCAGATAATTCTTAGCCAAATACAAAATTTCCATGAGCTGTCATGGCTATCTATTGCAGCAGCAGTCATGTCTTTCAGTTATTCTTCTATTGGCATCGGCCTCTCCATGGCTCAGGTTATAGGTATTAGACTCTTAACTGTTAAGTAATATGGTTTTTGTTCAGCTTAATTTAATTTAAGATTGTGGTTTGGATTAATTAAGGTGGTGGGCATGCTCGGACAAGCCTAACTGGTGTAACAATTGGGGTGGACGTGTCCAGTTCGGAGAAGATCTGGAAATGCTTCCAAGCCATCGGGGATATAGCCTTTGCATATGCCTATTCTACTGTACTTACTGAGATCTAGAGTAATATTCGTTTATCTAATACTGAACAATTTATCTTACTAGCTGGTGTATTATGCAGGACACGGTTATGTCCCCGCCCCCAGAGAAGAAGGTAATGAAAAAGACCTTATTGATAGGTTTGTCCACCGCAACCACAATATACGCCCTTTGTGGTTGCATAGGCTATGCTGCATTTGGGAATAAAGCTCCCGGAAATTTCCTCACCGGATTCGGATTTTACGAACCCTTCTGGTTGATTGACTTTGCCTATGTCTGCATTACTATCCACTTAATTTGTGCTTACCAGGTAAATAAATTCTATGATCCACAGCTTCAAGCCTTCAACCGTGATAACTATGTTTGCATATCTTCATATTGCTTTTTGCTCTACAGCACTTTGCCCAGCCAATATTTGGTTACGTTGAGAAACGTTGCAGCCAGAAATGGCCGGAAAACAATTTCATCAAGACCGAACATGGCATCAACGTTCCAGTATGTGGCACTTGGAACATTAACTTGTTCAGACTGGTATGGAGAACAGCTTACGTCATAGTAACAGCAGTGATAGCGATGATATTTCCATTCTTCAACGAGTTCTTAGGTCTGATTGGCGCTATCTCATTTTACCCATTAACGGTGTATTTTCCCATAGAGATGCACATTAAACAGCCCAAAATTCCCAAGTATTCCTTTAAATGGATATGGCTTCAAATACTGAGCTGGGCTTGTCTGTTTGTATCACTAGCTGCTGCTGCTGGATCCATACAAGGGCTTATCAAGGAGGTCAAGACGTACAAGCCCTTCAAAATCAATATGTTTACTACTTAATATGCAACATCTTGCGTAGAAAGAACTGCAAATAGTCATCGACCTTTTTCCGTTGTTGCTAATGTAAGATCTGTTTTGCTCGAAATTTGATGGTTTATTACATGTCTACTTGTAGCATCATGCAGCCCTGATTTTCATGTTGAACAGACTCCACTTATTTAGAGTCAAAGTCAAAATCAAAATCTTACAGGGACTTAAGTTAAAAATAAAATAAAATTATGGGGCCTAATTACAATTACAAGTACTAAAAGGCTAGAGATAATATAATAAAGGAAGCTAAGGATTTAATTTTCAATAATTAGAAATAAAGGGCTAAAAGATATGTTATATGGAGATTAGGAACTTATCTTGCAATTTTCACTTTAGTACTCCACTGCATGAATTAAAAATCGATTTGTCAATTGAATTTGGAATATTTCGCTCGGGACAGCAGAAAGAGAGACGGAGACACAGTGACACGAAAAAAGAGAGGGGGACGGGGCGTGCGGGGGAATAGGAAGCAGCCAATCACGAGTGAAATGTTTTAAGGATAATATATATGTACAAATACATTGTTATAAAATGGATTACTCACTCTCAAAAAAGAAACAGACCCTACATGAATTTAAAAAATGTTGACTTGTGGTTCCACCCCCATTGTGAGTATAAGTAAAAAATTTTGTACAAATTTGTGTGTACATCTAACACGGTCCATAGTTTAAAAATCTCTCAATTTATACAATCGTCACGTATTACTAACTGAACTTCAAATTGCTTCAACGTACTCACTGAACATTTTCCTTTTGCACTTTATCCATCACCTTCAGAAAATTCGTTACCTTAGTGCTGACATGACGGACGGAGAGATTTTTGACGTGGTATATAAAGGTCGTTAAACATATGTCAAAGCACATTTGACGTCCTAATTAGTATAACTTAAAAAAATAATGATAATATAAGACCAAAAAAAAAAAGGTCTGTTTTGTTTTGAAGCGTGGCTCATGTGAAAGCACTAATTCCGAATCACTCAATTTTTTTTTTATTTTTTTTATTTTTTACAAATGAACATTTGTTTCTCAAATCTCCTACCTTCATCGCCACACAGAGTTGGAGAAAATGACGGTTTGGGGGGAAATGGTGTCTGTTTTGTTTTGAAGCATTAGAAAAAGAAGTGTATTTTGTTTTGACGAATTAGAAAAAGAAGTGTCTATTTTATTATGAAGCATTAAAAAAAATAAAATGCTTTTTGTTAGGCTGATTAGTAGTGATAAATCATTTGATTAATGACCGTTAAACGACAAATTAAAATTTCGTCTGTCACATCAGCAATAAGGTAATGAATTCTTTTAGGTGATGGATGGAGTACCAATGAGAAAAATTCAATGAGTAAGTTGAAATGTTTTGAAATTCAATGAACAATCTGTGACCACAGTATAAGTTGAGTGATTTTTGAAACATTTCACTTGTCGATCACGTGTTGGAGACGAGATACACTTCAAGTGTTGGATTTTCTTTTTTTTCATGTCCTCATTTCTTTTAGAGTCTCAAGTGGTTAAGTTCTACAAAATTTTAAATTGTTCATTTTGGTTCAATAAGTGAAAGTAAGTCAAATTTCTTTATGGTTTGGTATGGTAAAACTATTTTTGAAGCCTATTTATATATAAATGTAAGGTCAGGTTCACACAATATTAGTGTCAATAAGCAAAATAAATGATCTTGCAGAAAGCAAAATGTGCAGAATTTAACTAATGAACATAAGAGACTTCTTTCGACATAAGCCCCGGAAATTCAGCGACTACATCCAATGCCTACACGTCGGTTCTTGATTTAGATATTCGTTCGGGTGTTTAACTTAAAAGGAACTACTTGATTCGGGTCATGTCGGGTTCGATTCGGTTCGAGAATTTTGTCAAGTATTACAAAATGCTGAGAAGTTGAATAAAAAATTGGACCAAAAAAATCACAATTCTTTTATATTTATCAAATTCCACAAAACAAGAAACGTTATTGACGAAGGCCCCCTCTAAATTGAAGGCTTAATAGTACAAAAAGTCCTTATATTTGGTCTGTAGTGTGCAAAATGTCCATATATTTCAAATTTTTGCATTTTTACCCATATTTCCACGTTTCATTGCGGAAAACGTCAATTTCACCATTTTAATATAAAATAACCAATATACCCTCCTATTTAAATAAAATAAAAAAAGAAAAAAATTTAAAGAACAAATTGTAATTATACTCCTATACTTTTTTTTAAAAATCGCAAATGAGTCCAAATGAATTATTAAAATGGTAATTAGCAAAAAATGCTCCTATCTTTCAATGTTATTGTGCAAAACGTCCATACTTTTTTATTTTTGGGAATGAGGTAATTAACACAAAATATCTTATCTTTCAATGCTATTGTGCAAAACGTCTGTACTTTTCATTTTTTGGGATTTTCATCTATATTTTCACTTTTATATTGCAGAAAATGTCATTTTTATCCAATTTCTCAATAAAAATAAAATGACAAATATACTTTGCCATTTGAATAAAACTAAAGAAAAGAAAAATTAATAGAAGGGTATAATGGTTCTATATTTTTCTTAACTAGCGAATGCAAATAGGGACGTTTTGTGCAAATACGGATGCAACTAGCAAATACAGACCCAACTTGCGTATGCAAATACGAATTTGTTATTTATTTTTCTTTTTTTCTTTTATTTAAATAGGAGGGTACACTGATCATTTTATGTTAAAAGTGGGTTAAAATGACGTTTCCGCAATGAAACGTGGAAATAAGGGTGAAAATATAAAATTTTAAAATGTATGGACGTTTTGTGCTATTAAGTCAAGTGAAAATGAAAAAAATTGAACAGTATGGACGTTTTGCACACTACAAGTCAAATGTAGGGACGTTTTGTGCTAACCACCTTATTCCAAAAATTAAAAGACAAAGACGTTTTGCACAATAATATTAAAAAGTAGATGCGTTTTCTGCTAATTATCATTTTAATAATTCATTTGGACTCATTTGTAGTTTTTTAAAAAAGTTTGACAGTATAATTGCAATTTATTCTTTAATTTTTCTTTTCTTTTCTTTTTTGTTTTATTTAAATATGAGGGTATATTAATAATTTGAAATTAAAATTTGGTGAAAATGCCGTATTCCGTAATGAAACGTGAAAATAGACGTGAAAATGCAAAAAATTGAAACGTAAAGACGTTTTGTGCTATTAAGCCTTAAATTGAAACCAAAACCTATTTCCCAATTTAATAAAAATCCGCATTCTTGGTCCCTATACTCTAAATAAATAATCATACCACCCAATAATTATCAATAATAAAAAGATAACTAAAATAGCAAAATAAAAAATTTGGGGGGCGGGGGGGGGGGTGTGAGATTTTAATGAATTTTAAATGATTACAAATTCTAATGAATTACATGATTTTGAATAGATTTTTTTCATAATTCTAATAGATTTCATGAATTTTAAAGATTTCATTGAAATTCATTAAAAGCATCAATCAGGAACACATGAATTTAGAAAAACTTTTAAAATCTATTAAAAACTTAGGCGATAACCCCTCATCTTCAATCATGTATCCATCTTCACCACACCACTACCCAAGAAGAGACTTTTCCAATTTTTGGTTCATGGTTGATGTCAGCAAATTTATCTTTTAAATTAAAAGCCTTTCATCATAGCCTCCACTGAAACTGGTGTCGAATTATGGACAAGAGAACATGTTCAGCCTTTCTATTAGCTTCTTTACTGGCAGTTGCATTACAAGTCTTTGTTTTATCTCCAATATCACCTGATATACTCCTTCCAACCTCCTCGATCCCATCAAACAGCAAGTTACAGGTGAATATATAGCTTAGTCTTAATTCATGTGTGTGTATGACCAATGGTTGATGCTACTAGTTTCCTTTTTGGACTAATACATAGGAAGTGAGTAAACTTGGAGAAGGGCTTCTAAAGAAACCAGAAGCCATGCTGTCGACAAAATCGGCGTGCTTTATACGGCTACAAGAATTGGTTGGATCACAAGATTGCACAGAAATGGATCCTGGGAGAAATGGAGGCATGATGACAGTGAGAATTTACTTGGAGAAACTGCAACAGCTGGTGACCTTGTCATCTGCGACGCAGAGAAGGTAAATCGTGTTGAAGAGTAACATTTCTTAACAATTTCAGTTTTTCGATGAGGTGGTTGGACACATCTGGTGAAAACAGTTCAAGGATGAGGTGGTAAGACACAACATCAGGTGAAAACAGTTCAAATCTCGCCTCTTACCATTTATGAAAACTGTGCACCTTTCTTAAAAGTTTTAGCTTTTCCGATGAGGTGGTTAGATACAACATCAAGTGAATGCAGTTCAAGTCTCATCTCTAACCATTTAGGAAAATTGTGCACTTTTCTTCACATTTTTAGAAAAATCAATGCACCTTTCTTAACAATTTTAGCTTTTCGATGTGGTGATTGGATACAACATCAGGTGAAAGCAGTTCAAGTCTAATCTCTATCCATTTAGAAAACCTGTGCACCTTTAATAAAAATACATTCGACATGCATGTGATACAGTGTTTTAAGACAATTTTTCTCTAAACTGTGCACCTTTAACGAAAATAAATTCGACGTGCATGTGATACGGTGTTTATAGACAAACGAGTTTTAAAATAATGAATTTTTGAAGAATGTGTGAATAAAAGTAGGAAAAAGTTTTAAATTTACTTAGAAAATATTTTATTATGAGAATATGCGATTAAATATGAGTTTGGGATAAAATAGAATTTTGAAATAATGATAGACAAACATGACTATGTTATGAAGTTTGGATATGTATATTTTATTTCAAATATTTAAAAGGTTTGTAGATGATGTGATCGAATCAGCTGATGGTAATTTGTGCTTCAGCCCCATAATTGGCACCTTGAAGTGCTCGAGGCAAAGTCACATGGGCATTGGGCAACTTGCAAGGTACGATTCTTCATCTAAGGAGACGTCTATTTTGCTTGACAATCTTGCCTTTGTAAACGGTATAGCCCTCTCAGCATATCAAGATTACTTGGTCGTATGTGAAACTTGGAAGTAAGTATTTTTCAACAATAAATGCTTAATTTTTTCTCAATTAACTCGGACTGCATCATCAATAACAAATTTAGTCCATAATTGACCCTGATTTTCTATAATTTATTTTTTTCACAAATTTATTTTCAACCACACAATTAATTAATTCTTATCAAGATCTCCTAAAAATATGATTTTCTAGAACAAATACGGGCTAAAGTTTATTTTTGATAAATTTGATGTAGGCTACATAGATCCTTTTTCTCTAGTCAATTCTATTCATTGTCGAATATTAAGATGAGCTGTTTTTTTACTTATGGACCCAACAATGAAGTGCTTCGAATTCTAGTCCCACGTGAAGGACACCGGGTAGAGATCCGACCACGGAAAGTTGATGAGATGGGGCTGCCGGCAATGAATTGGGCAAAGTGAGGAATACTAGAACAAGAGGAATTGTTCATAGAATTGTGGCAGCATCTAGTTCATCTATCTTTTTTTCTTTTTTTTTTTTTTTTTGTCATTATCAAATTTTTCCTACTTTTTAACATAACATTTTTTTAAAAATTACTATTTCATAGCTCATTCTTCCCCTAAATTCAAAAGAATGGTTGTCAAACAGGGCTAACCATCAGTTTCACTTTATTTAGCCCCTGTTTGGTTTTGATAAAAATAAATAATTTTTTAGTAGATTTTGATAGAAATTGATAAAATGTAAGGTTGCAAAGTTGATACAATTGGTAAATCCTATTAAATGTGTAGTTAAAATGAGTTTGAGAAATTATCTGTCTTTTTTTTTTTTTTTTTTGGTCATTATCCAACAGATTGCTGCCAAGTGTCTTCTGGTGGAATTTTGGCGGGTAAATTCTGAAAATTCTTTACTTGCAACAAATCTGATACCAGAATTGGTTTGAGCATGGTTTTGTGGATGGGTGTTTTTGTGTATTCTGAGTCATAGGATCTAGGAAATTAAGGATTTGTATAGATGGATTTTATATAGGTTTTTCTGTGAAACATCGGACAGTTTTTATTTTCATTTTGAACTCCATAAGAGTTGTCGGAAATTGAACACTTTTTCTCAGAGGGTTTGTTGATGGTCACATGCCGACCACCGAGTTTGGTGGCTTAAGTGGCGACATGATGGAGTTATTGGTGGTGGTTGAAGGTGGTGGCATGGGTATGGTTGAAGATGGGGAAGAAGATGAAGCGGAGTGGGATGGGATGGGATATGATGGGAATATAAAGTTTAAAGGTTTGTGATTGTAGATGGTACATATAAAAAATATGGGTATAATTTGTAAAAAATAAAAAATTTGAGATTGTAACTGCAATTATTCTTTTTTATTTGTGCAGTTTTTACCATTTTTAACTATTAAACTAATGGATCTAAGGAAATTTTTTGAATAAAAGGTTTCAAATAGGGATTTTTTATGATTTCCAAAAGGTATGGGGTATATCGTACATGGACAAGTTTTTAGGGGGATTTTCTACTATTAATCATTTTTATATTTGCTTTCTAACCTTATCTTTTACTCATTTTTCAATTTTGGATTGTTGATCCACCCTCAAGTTGAAGCCTAAGTTTTATGTTGTGGTCACTTTAGAACAATGTGTTATTTTTATTTGAAAAATTGTATAAAAACTTTAAAGCAAAAAATAAATTAATTCTTGAATTTCAATAGTTTGTTTCCTTTTTCATTTTATTTCTATTTTTCTTATTTAGTTTTATTTTCATACCACGCTAAAATATATAAGCATCATTTATTGAAGATTTTGCTATATTTATTTTTTCATTTTCTATTGATATTAGAAGTGGACATAATGAAAATTAAATATATATCGGTTCAGCTCATTTCAGCCTTTTGACCATTGATCCTTTTATTTTTTTGGGATCGATTTTGAAAACATTGATATACAAAAATATTATAGGATCGTCAAAAAAAATGCATTGGGGAAGAATATGTTCCTGAGAAACGATGATTGGTTGAAGAATGCATCAAACACGTCGATGTTTTACCAATTTTTTGGTCCAAATGCACTGTAATGTTATACTCACAGAATTTGCACAAAAATCCTTGATCTAGGTCTGGATTATTGATCAGGAATGGCTGTAAACCTTAAATAATCCTAGCAAACCATACATGTGGGCTTGTACATGAAGTAGAGAGATTCAATTATATACTCCTAAGGAATGTAAAAGTCATGACAATCAACAAGTGCATTTCAAATAGGCGAGTCTCTGTTAAGAAGTGTTGTTCAAATCAATAAAGGAAGAGTTGGAATGAAAAAAGGGAACGGTAGCCGTGAGTGTTGTCGACGCGACCGCATGGAGTTGTACCATGACGTCGCATGGTGCATTACTTTGACCGTTATGTGGTCGTCGCGAATTCAATTTTGGTGACCTTTCGTACATCTTTTGGCACCATTTCGAGCGTATGGTCGAGGCTTATATATATGAGATCAATATTCAAGCCATTGATTTATTGAAAAAACTTGAGATTAATTCCTTATTCTATAGCCAAAGATCATACCCTGGTTTTCATGCATATTCAATTTTTCTTACTGTGTTCTTTAAGTTTTAGAGGATCTCACTTTGTACTTTGGTGAAAAATCATATACAATGCTTGTTATAATCCTTCAAGTCATTTGTCGGAATGCCCTTAAGCTTCTCATTACATTAGAAGAGGGGGCAAATATCGTTTGAGGACAACGATATTGTATTCAGGCCTTTAATTTTATTCTTATAAGATTCTGGTTTTGATTCATATCTTGATGTATTTTCTTTTGATTTCTTCTCCATCACTCTATTATTTAAAACAATCTCAAATGATATTTCTATGATAGAGAGCAAAACAATGATGGCGACAATCAGACTAATGAATCAAGACTTGGTGCAATTGGATCGATTCGATGGGACTAACTTCATTCAATGGCAAGACAAATTAAAGTTTCTCCTAACAGTTTGAAGACCTTCCATATTCTTGATCCATGTTTGGCGCCATTATTGGAACCAACGAATGGAGAGAGTGAAGCAATTAAAGACAAAAGACAAAACCGCCAAAAGGATGAATTAATTTGATGCGGTCATATAATCAACGCGATGTCAAATCACTTGTATGATTTATACACCAATACTTTTTTGGCAAAAGAAATCTGAAATGCTTTGGAGAGTAAGTATAAAGCGGAAGAGAAGGTACCAACATATTTTTAATTTCTAAATACTTCGACTTTAATTTTCTTGAAAATGTTCCCCTACTTCTCCAAGTGCATTAACTTCTAATTATTGTCAACAAACTAAAGGTGGTAAAGGTTGAAATCCTAGAGACCTTTTAAGTGATGGCTATAATTGCTAAACTCCCAAGGACTTGGAAAGGATACTGAAAACGATCATATATAGTTTCAAAAATTATTCTTTGAAACAACTGCAAAAGTATCTTCAGATTGAGGTAGAGTCCAGAATGTGTGATAAGAGTGAGAACTCTCTTGAAGGAAATTTCAAAGCGAATGCAGTGGAGAAAACTGAACCGCCTATGAAATCCAAAAAGAGAAAGCCTTTAAGGAACTTCAATAAGTCCAAGAAAATGACCAAAGGTGGATGTTTTGTGTTTGGATAACCTGGACACTATGCAAAGGAGTATAGACATCGAAAACAAAACAATTTCGAGGGTAAAGTGAATACCATCCAAGAGAATAAAATTGTGGCAGCCGTAAGCGAAATAAATACAATCAAGGGAAAGGTTCTCGGGTGGTGGTATGATACTTGTGCTACTGTACATGTATCATATGATAAATCCTTATTCAAAATATATCATGAGGCAGATGGAGACCAATAGATACATGTGGATAACAAGGTTTGGTTCAAAGTGATTGGAAAGGAAAATGTTAATATCATCTTCACTTCCAGGAGAACTGTTACTTTGACAAATGTACTATATGTTTCGGATATGAATAAGAACTTAGTGAGTGGTAATCTCTTAAAATCGGGTATCAAATGTGTATATGAATCCAGTAAACTTGTACTCTCCCTTAATGAATAATTTGTTGGTAAATGTTATTCTAGTGAAAGAATGGTCAAACTTTGTACCGTTGACAGAGAAATTAATAAAATTGATTTTGCATATTCTGTTTTATTTTCGTTGTGACATGCTAGATTCAATCATATTGGTAGAAGTACTATGAAACATATGAAAAATGTGACTTGATTAATGAATATAAATGCAAGATATGTGTAGAATCTAAGATGATTAAAAAACATTATCAAAGTGTGAAAAGATCTCTAGTATCTTAGAATTAATTAATACTGATATATGTGAAATGAACAACATGTTGACTAGGGACGGAAATAGGTACTTCATTATCTTCATTGATGATTGCATCAGATATACGTATGTTTACTTGATGAAACATAAAAATGACGTCTTTGATATGTTTAAGGAATATAAAAGTGAAGCTGAAAATTATATAGGAATGAAAATTAAAACCTTAAGAAGTGACAGAGGTGGTGAGTACTTTTCTAGTGAATTCAACTTGTTTTGTGAATAACATGACATAATTCATCAATATTCTGCACTTAGGACACCAGAACAAAATGGTTTGGCTGAAAGGAAAAATAGAACCTTATTTAAAATGATGCCAT